ACCTACGGGCAAAGTTCCGATCCGGGCTACAGTCGAAGAATTGCAAAGAAGTCACCTGAAACTACTGGAATCAGATAAAACAGGTGTTTTTGTCATCTTAGATGAAGGTTCCTATGGGCAGAAGGTGAGCCAGGCATTGAAAAAGAATTTTGATACTCTGAAGACCAGGCCTTCAGGGTCTCTCCGTTCAAAGGCAAAGCAACTTTGCTGCTCCCTTAATCTCCCGGCTCTTAAAGCTGCCATTGGGGCTCCTTCCAAGCAATACCTAACTGTGTTTTTCACAGCAAAAACCCATAAAGAAGGAGTTCCCTTAAGAAGCATCATTTCAGAAAAGGGATGTTGGCAGAAGCCTCTCGGTCTTTTTCTGCAAAAGCATCTGTCATCGATCAGTCTCAACCAACCTTTCAGAGTTGCCAACTCCACAGAACTTGTATCTCGACTTCATGACCTCCATTCTACTCCCGAGGCCTTTACCATGTTTTCGTTAGACATTGAGGAACTATATTACCGATTAGATCCCGCATTTCTTATGGATTCTGTGTCAAGTGCCATCCACGAACATGGCCCATGCGACTTTCAGAACTCATCTGGGGTATCTGAACGGGGTTTCCTAGACCTTTTGGCCCTATATCTACAATCAACACTCGTCGAACATGGAAAGTAAATTCTCAGGCAAAAGAAAGGTGTCTGCATAGGCTCCTGCCTTGCCCCAGTCCTCAGCGAAATATTTCTAACGTATGTGGATAGGGAGATTGAAGCACGCCTTGAAGAGTTGTCACTTGTCTTCCATGTTTTTCGTTACGTGGATGATTATTTAGTCATTCACCCGAACTCAGTTGCTTCTGATTCTGTATTTCAAGCCTTCACTTCTTCGTCCTCAGGCCTGAATTTTACAAGGGAAGACAGCTCAGGCGATGGTCTCCAGTATCTCGATCTTCGTCTGCATCTTCTTCCGACCGGCATTTGTTGGGCCTTCCAACAACGGTCTCGGAAACCTATTCTTCCATTCTGCAGTTCCCATTCTAAACTGGTAAAACATGGAATCATCCGGTCTCTCCTCTCATCTTCTCGCACCAAATCATGTTCTCACTTTGCAAGCTTCAGCATTGCAAAACAAGAACGTCTCCTCAGAGCAGGATATCCGCAAGGTCTACTGAGCACCATTCTTGTTCAGTTAATTCTAACCACCCAAAGGCCCCGTGCTCCACGTAGTAAGCCTTCACGCGCTATCTGCATTCCCTATGTGCACAACTCAGCGCACAGACTGAAGGCAATTGCAGCGCGCTTCAACGTTTCGGTTGTCTTCTCGTGCAAGTTGCGCCTGAAACAACTGTGCAGGCGCGTGAACAATAACGAATCCATCAAAAGATGTTCCATCAAACACGCTCATCAGACCGTTCCCTGTGAAGAGGGGGTGGTATACTCCATCCCTCTCTCCTGTGGCGACCGATATATTGGACAGACAGGTCGTTGCCTTAACACGCGCCTACGAGAGCACGTCCTCGAGGTCTCTCGTGCTTCGGACGACACTTTTCACCCAATAGTGGTTCATCAACGCCTCTGTACGAACTGTGAAGCCCGGTTCCAGGACACCTGCACGATTGGGAGACATAAGAACAAGCTCGGGAGAGAGATCATTGAGGCATACAAGATAGCCCATGACGATCACAACATCGCTGCCCCTTCTCTCGCCTTGTCCAGAAACGAGATCAACTACCTGAAACCAGAGCTGGATTAGCCAAAAGGGCGCTCTATCTCAATTTGTCAATAGTGTTTTTCTTTTCCTTTTTCTTTTTTCTTTTTTCTTTTTTCTTTCTTTCTGAATTCTTTATCTTTAGTGTATTGGGTGTAAATTTGTGTTTTTTTCCGGGTGTATATAAATATATTAATTCCGCATCTTCCTCTTTAGTCTCAAACGTTAGGAAGAAGATAGCACTATTGAAGGAGACACCAGTAAATGTGTGTTGCTAGTTGAAAGAACTGTGCTGTCTGTCCTTGTCCTTAAGTGTTTTTATTCTTTCTTTGACTCCCGTTGTTTGGCCACGCTGGAAGCGTCTACGCCATGTAACTACATTGTCATAAAATGGGGCGTTCTCCTCAGACACCGCCCCATCCTTAGAATTGCTACCCTTCAAATAAAAAAAACAAACAAACATATCACTGCCTTCTTCTAATTTCTCGACGGTAACGGCCATTTTTAATTGGAGGCCCTATAGTGGCGTTCCGCGCTACTATAATACGCGATGTTTATGCCGTGCCCAAACTAGAGGAGCGTGGGCTCGTGTTGTGCCTCTTTGGTGCCCCTTCTTCAATCTTTTGTACCAATATTATGAACTTTATGAAAGCCCCTCGGAAATGGTACTAGTTCTTCCGTCCCCTTTACAGCTGAAATTAGGTTTTTTTTTTTAATTTTAAGTGCTTGTTCCAGTCGGTGACCTACACCGTGCGAGGTTTCTGATCGCTCTCATTACCACAGACCAATGTTAGGACTGGTAGGTGTTTATTCCCTCCTGCTTCTAGCTCAGTTAACAACAAAACAGTTCTGCGAAGCCTGCCAAAACAAATGTCAGGTATAAAACACAACTCAGATTCTAACACCATAAATAGTTAAAGTACCATCGGTCCTGAGGTCTGCATTTAGGCTCACTTAGATATCATTATTTTCGACCCCCTTTAGTGTTACGTGCGCTATCCCAGAATTAATGGTGGACATCAAAATAACCGCATATACGTGTATATGCGGAAGGGGGGGGGGGGGTGCTCTGCACAATATTTTCATGCCGCCGGGAATCAAACGGTATTCTTGTTTTCACGTACGCACGAATGGAAGAAAAACTACACGATATGTTTCTCACAATAGCTCAGACGTATTCATTTGTGTCATCGGGTGTCACATCAAATTCGTTGTAAATATTTTTTTTTTATATTCTATATAAAACTGATGGCTTCAGACGTTCTGATAAAGAAGAAAAACGAGTATCTTCAAAGTTTAATGTTCGTTTTTTTATTTATATTTGCTTCGAAAGATGCCAAGTTAGGAAAAAGATACTTCAATAGAAGTTGCCTAAAATCCGTGAGTTTTGTTAGAACGCCATTACTGTTCCTTTGAAAGATCATTGTTTCCTTCAAAGCTTCTTGACAGCATGCTACATTACTCACGAAAAGGGCAAATGGGTGTTAAAACCAAGGCCCTTCTGTACTTTTGTGTTCCAAGTCTCACTATTTGGGAAACTGCTTACCATGTCAATCACAAATTGTAGTATTGACGCTCTGAAAAGACTCGTCTTATTTAGCATCTCAGCATTCAAATTTATTTGTGTCTGTCTACCGGCATACTTGATAATGCTTTTTGGGAGATGTTTTTATTTGCACTTCTTTGTTAGTAGATGATGGAAAGCTTGAGTTATTGACATCGTCCTTTAAAACAGACGTAACCCGCGAGCTTTTTTTTATTTCAACGAGTCTCTGCTTATACTCTTTACACTTATATGGCGTGACTGACCAGATTCAGATTCTTTTATTTTTTCAGTGGAAGTTAGTTTAAGCTTCAGAAAACCATTAAGGTTCCGCGCTTGTGATTGGTGATACTGCTGAGAAACATTGGGTTGGACATCGTTGTGGAATTATTGGAAACTATGGTTAGCCTTGTTTGCGAATTTCTGCTAACTATTTCTGCGCAACTCGTTTTCGGCATGCTTCAGCTAGAGAATCGTGGGAACTGGCACAGTTAACGCATTTTTGTTTCTCGCACATTGCTTCTCGAATTCACGCAAGAGTATTGTGGCCACAGCAGCCACAGTTGCAAGGGACGATCTTCGAATGGAACGATTCGATAAAGGACGCATAAAAATAAGAGCGCATTTTGGCAGTAGTGTGAATGCGAAATGTATTCTAACAATTGTAGGCCTGCTAAGTCTGCGAGCATATACTAGAATTCGTGTCTGATCATCGTTCAGTTAATTTTAAAAGTGTGTCTATGGTCTGTTGATTTATGCCCCTTGTGACACCGATTGGTCTTAAGCGTGGACGAAGCTTGTAAACTAACGCCCGCTTGGCGAAGTCAAGTAACCTTGAGCAAGATTCTTGTAGCGTGGGCGTTGCTCGTATCAACCGCAATCAAGCGTAGATGTCCCATAGGCGGATCGTTAGGATACATTCCTTGCATGTTGCAAAGTGTCAGGATGTTTATCTTTGTCAGAGAAATTTCTGGATTTGCTGGTACAAAAATGAAAGTCAAAGTTGTCCGATGAAGCGAAGCTGTTAGAAGGCCAGTTTTATGTGCAGCACCGTTGTTTATGTGTTGACACTTGCACTTTCCCGTGTATATTTGGAAGTTTGCATCGTCGATCTTAGATTAATATTCCATAACTTCGGTGTTGCCTTCTAGCTTTGTCCAGCGGGAGTGATCTCAGCTGATTGTGTGTCGCTGTTGGTGCCCAGATCAGGCAGCTTGTTTTCTTTGACGCTTGTTTCAGCCGAGTATGAATGTTGGATGATTTTTCCCGGTGAGACTGAGGTCACCTGGTCTTTCTGGCGGTTTCTCTTTGCTTCGGGCTGCTGCGTACGGACTTCTAATTTGGCTAGTTGGTGAACGTTATGAAGCGCGCCGCAAGACGCAAAAAAGAACGGGCACAAGGGAGAAGACAGACACACAGGTGCCTGAGCGTGTATCTTCTTCTTTGTGTTTTTTTTTTCCGCCTTGAACCATGCTTCATGCCACTTCTTGAGTCCTTGGTGGCTAGGCCGGGAGCGCAAATGCCGTTCTTTGATGGGAAATCATCAAAATCACATGAAGGGATTCGAATTTCAAGAAAATATTAAAAGATGATATGCGATACTTCCTCTCTTTTTTATAACATCTCTTACTTATTTTTTTCTCCCCGATATTTTTTTTAAATTAAAACAACTTTGGGTATAGCGCTCTCATGTCTACTTTATGCAATCGTCTGTCCCTTTGCACTTTATATATTCAGAGCAGTAAGACGTCTCTTATCTTGCAGATTGCAGCTGGAAAAGGCGAAAAATTGGTGAGTATTGCAAGCAGCATTCATTTCAACTAGAAAAAAGAAAGAACGAGACTGTCACACGACGAAACCACCATCGCTGAATACTGCGATAACACTGTGCTGAAGTGTAGTTGACTCCAAGCATGCAACTGGAGAGAATGAAGGGAAATCCATGTGCGGGGTCTTGTGCTTCGATACCCAGGGACCCAACCTACCCAACACCGTGGAACAAATGAACGAGTTCATGCGCCAGAGCGAACTCAAAGTGGGCGGAGACCTGCTGGCCATTGTCGACCTCCTAGACACCGCTACCAAGAGATTGGAGAGCGGCGACGTCCAAGTGGGAGACATCAACTTCGAAAATGCCGAGCGTGTTGGGAAGGAAACTGCCAAGACCGTGGATAAGCTGCTTAGTCTTGATATACCTTGGAACGAAATACCTGCGGTACGAAAACACAAATATACACACCGTATTTTGTTTTCGTTTGGCAACTGAGAACAAAGCTAGGGTTTGCAACTTTTCTTAACATTGGCTCATATAATAAAGTAGGAAACATTTGAATTTTTCTTAGCCGCACTCTGTGTATATTTTGCAAACGCATGCTTTAGTGAAAAAGTAAGGTGTTTTTCTTAGATTGTCAGCGCCCGGTGTATGGTCCGCATGGGCACATTCGGTTGAAAAGTAAATTTTTGTTTCTTGGGTAGCCACACCCGATTTACAGTTCACAGGGGCACGTTTCGGTTGAAAATGTAGTTTTTTTCCTAGATAGTTCACAGCCGGTGTGTAGCCCGCAGGAACAGATACGGTTCAAAAACTTACGTTTCTTTTTTCGGATATTCCACGCCAACTGTATATATTTCGTAGGGAAATATTTCGGTTGATATAGTCGTTCATTTTAGGTTATCGGAACCCGGTGTATAGTCCGCAGGGAATTAGGTTGGAAGAGTTAAGTTTTTACTGAGATACAGCCCGCACCCGGTGCATATTCCGGCCGTAAAAAGGGTTATCGCAGGATAAGTTTGATAGCGCACCCCAGCTCGGAACATGTGGAGCGAAAGCTCGCGCTGCAGAACATAGGAATCCTGGATTCAATCCCCACCCCTGCAGGTTTCAGTCTTGATGAGTAACGAACCAACCGGTTTGTGGTCATGCACCACTACTTCGTCATGCACGTTAAAGACAACATGCTTGCAGTGGTAATTGAAGCTGAACAGTTCGGCAGACGTCTGCCTGGTTGGGTTTAACGTTATAAATAATAGTTTTAACGTTATTACTAATTGCACTGGTACTTCACTGGCGAAATATTTCTTCGACGGCGTAAACCAGTGTCGTCGCACCTCAAGCATAGACCGACCTACGCTGTATAAACGCGAAAGTCAAATTTCTTGTTTGTTTGTTTTGTTATTTAACCATCTACAAAGGCCTTATTTATTAGCCAAACTAGTTTATTATTTAGTAATTATTAAAAGCCAGTGTCGCCGCAGCTCACTGGCAAACCAACCTTACGCTGTGCAAACAGAAACGTTAAATTTGGTTTTGGGCTTTTTGTAAAGGTAAATGCACCTTGACCAATGTTCTCTTTATTAGGTAAAACACTTATTGTGCATTAATAATTATAAACCTACTAAGTCATTTCGAAAATACGTCACGTCTCATAATAATAAACAAATCTAGAAAAAAAATTATTGTATAGTCTGCTCTTGTAGATAGTCCGCACCGCGTAAAATATAAAGTTCCAAAATGTATAGTTCGCGCACTACCAGTGCGCAAAATACGATACACGGCAGGATATTGCTACCGGGGACAAGCGATTGCCGGATTTTCTGATTTTTTTTTTAAACTGAACGGCTACCATACAAATTACTAGTGTGGTCGAAAGTCTTAATTCTGCGCAGTTACCTAAGCCGTAAAGTTTCCAGACTCTCTATGCTCTGTCTGAGTAAAAGGAAAAAAAAAAAAAGAACGCCCATGTCGTCTTCGCGCTAACATTGTCGATCAGTGGACCTTTTAGCACCGAAGTATTAAGATCCAATTAAAACATTGGTTAAGTAATTTAATAGTAATCCTACCCACGCCATGTCAGATACATCGGTGACTGCAAGCGTTAACTCTGCATCTGCCGAATGTACTGGGCGAATATCATAACTCACTATGCTCCCCTTTAGCAAAACGTTAAAATATTATACTGCATGAGTTGTAATTCACACTCGTATTATTTCGCGTCCTACATGAAAATATATATTTGCTTCGTAAATAAAGAGGCACGCAGACACGTGTATTGTAAAATAACTTTAATGTAACAGGTACGTACCTGGTTTTCATTGTCAACCCCTCTCCAAGCCCCAGGTGACTGCGCTTATGGAGATAAAGCGGTTCCGGGCGAGTCCAGTGATTGATTGGTCAGACCAACATGGATATTCACTACACTGGCAGGTCATATCAAAATGGAACGTAGAGTAACTGGTGCCTGAGTTGTAGCAGGCTGTTTAACATTAGTTTCAGGAAGTAATGTCATTCCGTATTATTTATTGTGGAGCTTCCAAAACCAATGGATACAATAAGGTTAAATCTAAGTGTGTATGGTAAACAAAGCTGAAGAATGAGGTGTTAGAACAGAAACCACTGTTTGGTACATATAGTAGACTCCCTGCGTATTTTGTTTATGACAAAGAATTGCTAATTGAGACATATTGCATATATCTTATCTAAAAGTCCTTTAATTTTCGGGAATAAAAAAAGATATTGAGCGACTATGAACCAGGAATTTGCATTTTCCATTGCAGCAAACACGATACCGTTGTGCCACGACACTCCTACAGACCTTGGATGTTGCCGGAATCATTCTCAGCGCCATCGATCTCAAAGACAGCAGTCTCGCCTTCAAAAATTTCAGTGAGTCCTTTGTCCTCGTGACTTGGCTTGGGTCATGGCGATGGCAGATCTTGCTCGCGTGCCCGCCAACTTCCAAAAAAAGAAAAAAAAAAGCTTACCCTCCTTCTTTTCATTTACTGCAATCGGCATCAATCCTATGTCGCAACATGACTTGCTGCATTTATCACCGATTGGCTCTCAAAGAGCCTACCAATCGGTTGTCAAAGGAGATTTGGTTTGGTCATGCCATTCTGTTTGGTCATGGATATCAGAGAATGCTTCTTCCTTAAGGGTCGAATAGATAAAGAATAAAATCATACACATTGTATCAAATGTTTCAGGTAAACTTTTTTTTGTATCTTCTCTTTTTATTTTGTTCTCTACCCATCATCAATATTATTTGAGAGAAGATTTTGGTCCTTCTGAACGCCGTGGTGTCCTTGTCACCTTGTATGTGTTCGTCATCGCCACTTTCTTGGAAGCTACACCTCTATAAAACGCTCCAAGGGCAGCCCGGACAGTTCAAGGGCGGTCAGGAATGAGCAAATACTACAAATAGTTCAACAAGGCGGAACCTCTTTGACAGCTAAACGTTATACTTCTTCAAACAAGTGAAATAATGCTCATAAAAAACACATACGTTATCATGATTGAAAAATAGGATGTGAAGTTGAACTGTGGTTTTGGTGAAGAACGTTTTGTTTCGGTTTAGGGGGAATAAAATCTGAGCGTGCCTGCCATTGACCCACCCAACAAGCGGAAGCGCATAGTTGCGAAGTAACGTTTACTACCTTGATTCAAGAATATACCACCGAATAAACTATAATAGGTTATTGCATAAATATGATGACCTCAATAAAACACAAGCCTGTGAACTATTTTCGAATTCAGCTGTATGTAGAACCCCCTTTTTTGTTTATAAATTGTGGAAATAACATATGCCTCATCTGGATCCGGTTCAAAAATAAATTGTTCCACACTCTTTTATGCTATTACTATTAGATTGAGGTCGCCGTTAACTACAACATTAGTGAACATTCCAGAGACTCCAACCTACTAAACATATCTGCACATTGCTCTCCGATCACGTAAAGGGCTTTGAGATCCAACTCCGCCACGCATTCACCCGCCAACTAGGGCAAATAAGCGCTAACCTAGCGGCCCTCCTGTGAACTGCTCCTCATTTGACAAGACATACCCAACCTCCCGCAGGAAAAGGGGGGGGGGGGGGGGAAGAACTACTCAGGAGGCTGACTAATGGCGAGCAGTTCTGTTTGGCTGTCCTTTAATGTAGGCCGTTAATTGCCGACCGATTTCATCAGGTTGCGCGTCAGTGCTCGCGTTTGACACGTGGTCGCGTGCGTATAAATGCAACTCCTGGTTTCGACAGCAAAATTCACATATACATCATTTTCGTAGTGGGCGCGCCGAAAAAAAATTTTCCGTACCCAAGGTTGCTGGTTTATTTTTTTTTTTGCGACAACACAATACACGACCCGAAATGACTGTCGATGATTTGTAGCTTGTTTCTTGATTTCGGCTTGATATTGGTAGATAAGCAATCAGTGAGTCGCCCGAATGATCTTAGGGCGTTCATTTATTCAACACCCCCTTGAATCCGCGGAGCCGAATCTTTGGCTTAAAGAAGGGCAACACCAAGCAGAAATGTGACACGGCTCCTGCGTTCGGCTGAAGTTTGTGTTCTCACTAATTGAACACGGATCTCAGCCAAACGCCAACACAGCCCTTATATCCAACTTTTACCCCTCATTAGACATATTGAGGCGATATCGTGAATTCGGCATAACGGATTTGTTATTGATTAATAATATTTACACAATACCTGCTGCGTCATTAGGCATTATGCAGGCGATATATTAAACAATGTCTTTAAAGAAGCAAATTTTCAAAATACATAGACAAAACAACAATAATAAATATTTATACTCGAACGAAACTTTGTATTCTTTCGTAAAATGCAGCATCCCTTGAAATTTAAAGTAACTCTTCTGGGAATAAATTCCACTCCCGAATGATCTGCAGTAAAATTGCGGTGAAAAAAGGAATGTTTATGATAACGAAATTCCCTTATTTTCTGCGAGTGCTCCAGTCTCGAAGATCCTTGGAGTTGTCTTCGAATGTACAGTTTTTCGTTCGACGCCTGTTCGTTCGTAATATATGGCGAGAGAAAAATGTAAACATAAATATTTTCGTCGATATTCAATAGAGTCACAACGTAACCTGCGTCTCACTTTCGCACAATTTGCACTGAGGTTATAGACACTTTGACACATATCTAAGTGCCTGGTTTTCCCGCTCTACTTTATTTGAGAGGTAACCATGTGCGGGATCCTCTGTGGCGCAGGCATAATCTAAAACTGGCCCGATAAGAGAAAGAAAGAATTGTTGCTCTATCCTCGTGAGACCGGAGGAAACAACTGTGTGAAATAAGTGAAGTTGGCTTACTTTATAGGATCAATTGGCGGTGTTGATCACAAAAAAAATAAGTTGTGAGAGTGTACCATTTTTTAGTTTTCCGTCTGTGTCATGTGCAATATATTGCACATAGGGATTTAGATCACACAAAATCTGGTAAAATTTAAAAGATTGAAAATATCACCTTTATTCCGATATACATAAACGTTCCTAGCTGTGGAAAGAAAGCAATCGCGTGAAGATGCGATGCACAAAAACACGTTACAGTGTTTGCAACGGAACTTCGTGCGTTGAGAGCAGCAGGGTTTCGGTATCTGGAAGCTCACCTTTGGTCTGACAGGTCTGGCATATGTTTTGCTCCCGTGGTCCTGACCACCTCAGGGAGGCAGGGGTGTCGTCGTCATACAAGGGCGTTTTCTGGGGGGCTCATCTTCGCTTTCGTCATCGCTTGTTCCTTCTGTTAGCAAGTGATGCGGGATAGACAATATGAAATCAAGGAGCTTCAGCCGCTGTTTCCTTGGAACTTCCAGAAGTTGACAGTCTTCCTTGTGCTGCAACCATTAAGGTGTCCAGTCTTTTCGGAAATCAGGGTGAGAAAGTGGTGTACCAGGAACATCAGGAAAAACAGACGTAAATAGAGCAGCTTGCCTCCAAGGTGGCAGTCTTCCTTCGCTTGCTGATGTCAGGTCCTCGGAGTCGTCATCGCCTGATGATTCTGAAAACTTTAAAATATTGTTTTTAAACATTATGATTTACGCCTGACACATATGTACCCATCAGTCAAATACTCTTCTGGATCGGCTGGTTGCAGTAATGTTGCATCATCATCTTCGTCTGACAAGTCGATGTCCGAGGCCTCCTGGCTGGCAATAGCCTCCAAGATTTCTTCCGCGGTCTTTTTACGTGATCTTGAAAGTGACGGACCAATGACAAAATATCTAAGTAAATTTATTAAAACCAGAACAAATTAAATAATTAAAACTGTATATCAACTAAATCCTATATGTACACCGGCTGGGAACATCGCAGTCACGTTTACCGAAATAAACCAAATATCTGTCAGCTGAGACCCAGTGTGCCACAGAATGTACACGGAACAAAATAGCTGCATTGCACATAGTTAAGTCAAGCGCCACAAGGAAAACCGTGCTATAAGCAATCCTGCAACGTTTACAGCCATGTTCGCAGCGAAAGTAGAGTGTTTTAGTCTACTTTGACAGACATAAAAAAGTGCTTACGTGGCCCAGTCCCGTGGAACGTCTTTTCTGACATGGAGGTCATCTTCAAACCCTCCTAGCGGAAGTTCTGTTGTTGCTGGGGTCTTTCCCACTACACCAGATGGCAGCACACGGCCGCATAATATATTGCACAGCGGGACTCTGCTCCTTCGGACTTTCGATCATCGTAAACCTGATGAGACCGAGTGTGCAATAAAATGCACGTGGGGTCTCACGAGGCTATTAAGGACCTGATGAAAGAAGAATTATCGAAACAAAAACCGGTTGGGATAGTGCCCCTTTGATCAAATCTGGAGCTCATACAGTAACGTTAATATAGAGAAGTTCATAATTACTTATTTTTATGTCAAGAAAAAAAATGTTTGAGAAATTGCTCACGTTATTCTCGTACCAAGTACCAAGTCTAGCCGCTGCCAGCTTGAGCAGGGCGCTACTAATCCCAAGGAAGTTTTTCTCACTCCTCGGCCAGTGCGGCATTTGGCGATAACAAGTGCGGAAAGTGATTGATGAAGGTAGATGCGTGAACCATAGCAAGCCGCTCCCCGCGTTTCCTAAATTGTCAGCGAATACAGCTCAAATTGCAGAATTTTTGCAGCTTAGTTATGTGTTTCGTAGACACGACCATACGCCAAATATATTTTCATATATTGGCGCATTGTATTTGGTGAAGTGATACATATCCACGCCTTATTAATCCGAGAGCATTAACTGTTCCACGGAGGGAAGCCGGCGTTGTCAGTAACCATCTGTAGCAGCGAAACGGCAGTTATATTCCCATTAGCCAAAAGCACAGCAACGCAGATGCTTCGTCACAAAAGCCGGCGGGCGCTCAAGGTCAAAGCGGACGCGCATCAGGAATAAAACACACACAAAAAAAGCAGAGCACCGCAGATGCATCGTCACGGAAGCCGTGGAGCCGGCAGGGTTCGCTTCCTCCTGAGCAAGGAAAGAGCGTGACTTCGCTGCCGGACCGCCGTTTGAAAAAGGAAGACGCGGCGCGCTGCGTGTAGGAATGCTTCGGCATTCCTGCTCGAAAGCAGTCTTAAGTGTCTTTAGCGTGCGCTATGTTTTTTTTTTTTTGTTTTGTTTCTTTTATTTACGTTCTGTTCTACAGCATGTAAACTAACGCATCTAAGGCAGTTTAGACGGCCCGCAAAAATCTGTTTCTCGACAAATCGCGCTGCAATTTACTGCAGAGGTGCAAGCAGGCGGTGAAAGTTTACAGTTATAAAATCAAGAAATGAACTTACCTCGTTCAAAAGAAACAAAAAATGGACGCATCTCCACGTGGTGAATGATGTTGATTGGGGCGAAGCTCTGGTGGTGCTGATGATACTGATTTTATTC